GTGTGCGGACACATCTTGTCTACACTAACATCCCCACCCTCACCACACACCCCCACTCACACCCACCCACACCCACACCCACCCTCACGCCCACCCACATCCACACCGACCCACACGCCCACCCACACCCAAACAGCAATCAAACATTCTAGACGTGCAAAAAGTTTTTCCGAATTTCGAATTCCCCTTTTTCAAATTATCTTTTCTCCAAAAAATTGGATTTTCAGATAGATAATAATTCAGAGAGAGAAATACCATGTTTTCATAGAAATAACGTTTTCACTTTTTGGAAACCTGGCTTCAGATTTCTATTCTCCGATCTCTATTTGCTTACGTCAACCTTTATAAGATGCCACTATCTTCTCCAAAAACCCTTCCCTTCACCCGAAAAACACGATTCGAAACTTTGCGAAACCGACTTCAGATTCGGATTCTTCGACCCCGATTTCCTTTCGTCAACCTTTATAAAATATCGTTATTTTCTCAAAAAATCCTTCCATTGACCCTAAAAGCTCATTTCAAAATTTTGAGAAACTGACTTCAGATTCGGATTCTAGTGCCACGGCTCATAATGTTTCACAGGATGTTTTTGTTTTACCCCGATGTTCTTTTGACCCTGTCTACAAACACATACACAAACTCATTTTTTTTCATATGACCCTCCCTTCAGTCAAGGGAACAAGTCGTGAAAAATCTCAGTTAATCGAATAAAGTAAAAAGAAGAAATGAAGCGAACACATTTGAACGAAAGATAATAAAATAAGAGAAAATACGGGAAAATGTTTATCACAAGTTCGATTTGTCCGTAATGTTTCACGACAATTGCCAAGAAAATAATCAGCCAAATAGTTTTCTCTAAGAAACGATGTCTCCAATCATTCCATTCATGACTCTAGATATGGATGTACTGTTCCTAAATAAAACATACCCACACCCACACCCTGCGACATGTGCAGTTAAAAGATAAGCAATTGTACTTTATGGTTCAACTAGAATTTTAGAAGAACAAGTAAACAGTCATTTAGTTGTCTTATCAATCGGTATTAAATAACTATGTGATATTGGTAGAAGGAGTTCTTTTAGGAGTCAACACCATTAGGTAACATCCAGCCATAGTTACGCAATATGTTTTTCAATTCTTTTGTGAATATCTTGTTTTCAGAGCCATCGCTTGGTTTATGTTTCCATGTACCATCTTTGTTGAGTGCACCTCCACCTTTGAAGTGGACATGAGGCTTTTCACCGCGATCCGGATTGCCCGCATCGATGCGATCAATTTGCTTTGGTGCTCCACCAGTTTTAACGAGTCGAGCGAATTGATTTACACTAGATTCTTTTTTTGGTGGTTTTTCTCTTTCTCTTTGATTATTGTTGTTTCTATTTTTATCCCCACTTCCCCCTGAAGTTGCTTGGTTATTTTCTGGACGTGTTCGGCTTCCAGAGTTGTTTGCAGAAGCTGTTATAGAAAACAAAAATATTTAAAAAAAATACTATTTGCGATTACTGATCGGATGTCTTTAGGATCAAGTATTTTGTTCGTTCATGTTTTACCTAACAATTTATTGTATACGTATGATGAAAAGCTAAATTTGATGATAGACTCACAATGTTTCTCCAATAAATCATGAGTAAGAGAAAACTGACTAATCAACTTAAATAATGGCACGTACCAGAAATTTTCTGTGATTGATTTCTATTGAATTGTTGTTCTTGTTGACGCACTTTGTTTACTTTCTCAAATGATTTCTCAGCTTTGACTGTTTTGATCGATTTGGGTAGACTGATATTATCGACCTGATGCACATCTAGTGTATTATTAACACCACCATATACTCTTACATAATTAATTTCACTATTTGAAAAAATGGCAGGTACCCAGGCACATCTCGATGGATCATTACCTAAACCTTTAGCATCGTTCTCTGGCGATTCATTAGACAGAATATAAATTTTCATCTTATCAATTGTCCTTTTCAATTTTGTTTTGTGTTCTATTAATGATTTTTTGATGAACCCGGTTAATTCATGCTGACAATCACGATATGTTAAATAATCAATAACATATGGTCTTAATTCACTTTTCTTACAGAAAAACTCACTAGAAAGTTTATTCAATAATGTGCTGACGACTTCTTCATCAGTCTTATCATAACCTGTTGGATATCGACCAATACGAGCTTTTATTTTTTTCAAATGTTCGTCTATTGATGTATCACTTTGTATAGTGTGTATATAATCTTTCATTCGTTCATATTGTGCCTGAATAAATAATGATAGAGCACCAAGTTTTAAGAGCTCTTTTAAACGTAACAATTCAGGAAAATATTCTCCTATCTCATCATAATATTTTGTAAAAAGTTTAGTGAATTGAGCTTCAGCTGAATGATCATTTTCAATGTCATTCGTATCATCAATTAAATTTCCTTTTTCATCATATTTCATTCGATGCTTTCGAACGGACATTTTCAAATCATCGGCAATGTAAAATTTTTGAATATTTTCATTGATACGTCCAAAACCAAAGAAGCCACGATGAAATGTTTGTTGAAATGAAACAGTACCGGCTTGAATCCAAAATCGATGAATATTATCACCAATAAGATTTTGATGTTTTTGTTCAATAATTGATTTAAATTCATTACGAATGTGTGATGGTAAACGAAGCATGAAACCACTATCAGATGGACGCATTTCAAATGGATTTTGTGAACACACTTCCGTATTCGTCGAGATCATTTTCAGTAAATAATCAGCATGTAACAATGTTTGTAGATAATTAGTAGCAAGTGACAAGCGTTTAGGTAAATACTTCATTTCATTAAATGGATGCGAATGATAGTTATTATCAGGTGGATCCAATGTGAAAAATGCACTTGTTATACCATTTGTTAGAATATCAACAACATCATGCATATCAAATAGATTATGTTCGTTATTACTTGCTTGAGTGAACAAAAATTCAATATCGCCTGTATCATTGTTCAATGTTATACCAACCACTTTTGAATATGCTGGCTCTCTTAATTGTAACCGATGTTTCCCACTCCATAACCATCCATCGACTGTTCTTGGTAAAAGTGACCAGTTGAGTAAATCTTCAACATCAGCTATATTGAAGTTACGATCATTTAAAAAAGCATTTATAGATTGAAAACGTTCCTCATCGAAATCTTCATTTCGTATCCAACCTTTCCAAATACCTTCAAAGAAGTAATATTGATACATTGAGCTTCGACAAGACATTTGTTTTAAATAGGTTGCTAAAAATTCATTTCCAGCATAATTCATATAAACCAAATCGTATGCTGTTGCAGTAGGTAAATGAGTAAATGGTGTTACTTTTGAAATTTGTACGATACTTTTAGCTATTTCTTCAATCAATGTTTCTTGATAATCATTGATGATCAGTTCATTCTTTGGTCTTCTATTTGAAATATTAGATTTATCATCTGAAAAACGATGTTTAAATAATTCATTAGAACGTAAAATCAATGTATATAATATTTTATATAAATACATTTGAGCATATAATGGTAAATAATGTCGTGTTAATAAAAATAGTTGTACCGATATATCAAATAGAATTGAACGATAAGCATATATTTCTGATAGATGTTTATTCGGAAGAGTCATTGCTTTATATAAATACAAACAAGCTAATATCAAATTAGATGCATACGAAGTTGGATCACCAGTTACAGCCATATTCAAATCAATATAAGACATGGCTGCTTGTAATGGATCTTTTTCAGACATACGCTTAACAATAGCTTTTTCATATTTTTTCAACATTCGTAACCGATCTGTTTGTTTCAAAAAAGTCAAATTCATCGATATGGTAGGCACATTAAAATTTACTAAATTCAGCGAATTATATTTGATGTCATTAATTAATGCTGCTCGTAATGTTGAATGAAATTGTGAATGATTGATGAATATAATTAAACTGTTAATGAGTTCATCGTATGGATGGTACAATAATGCATAATGGATCATTTGTAATGATTCAGTCGGTTTGTTTTCTAATTTTAATATCATAACTTTGATCAGACAGAGTTTTGAGCGATATTCCATTGGTTCAATTTGATCTAGTTCTAGTCGACCAAGACATTGTTTGTACAAATCTTTTAATTGTTCAATGTAATAATTCTTTGGATCAAGAAGAATGTTTACCATTTGTTCACAAGATTTGTACGTCGAAGCTTTCAATTCATTGTATATTTTCAAATTTAATTTATCTAATAATGGTTTTTGTAAAAGGAGTAGGTTTCGAGTTGATTCCGTTGATAAATTCTCAAATGACATTAAAATATGAACACCACCGTTGATTAGACTGTCATACTGTTCGTTTTTGTTCGTTTTTTCAATTTCATTTAATAATAATAAATGAAATTTGAATAAATAAACATTTTTAAACATATTCTGTTTAGCATCTGGATCGTAGGATTTTATAGCTGATATAATTAATTTCTTTATATGTTCATTATTCTGTTTTGATAGTAATGTACAAATGTTATAAAAAGTATTGTTGCACAGTGGTATCTTGTTTTTCGATAATATCTAAAGATACAGATAGAAAATCATTAACACTAAGAGTAGTGTTTGCCAAATAGTGATAATTTAATACGAGTTTATTTAACCCTTTCGTTCCCGGCAACACATATGTGAGTTCAAATGTATTTATCGGATAAGAGCCGGAGTAGTATATGTTTTAACCATTTAGAAAAGCTTCTTATCGTTTGTTAGATGGTACCATAATGGTACATTTCTTCTTTATTTTCCTTCTGTTGATATTTTTACTCATGCACATTCTATTCATATTTTCTGTCATTCTAGTGTGTTTCAGTACAATCACTCTTTTCCGTTCTTTTCTTTGTATTCAGTATGTATTATTCTCTTTAACACTGCTTAATGAGTTCCTATGTTTCTGTAAAATTCTAGTTAGTTGTATCTCTTCTATGAAATCCGGTAAAATCTTTTCGTTTCTAACCTGTATGATATATATATGCACCGTTCGAATAAATAAAAGAAGAGTAAGAATGAATAAAAAAACATTCTTCGTTGAGTAATAACCATTGATTTCAACAATCAACCTCATACATTTCCATTATGACGGCTTTAAGAAAACGACGGTAAACTAAGAATGAAATCGATAAATCATATTTAAAGATTAATTTTAAAAACTTTGATCTGCGCAAAAAATAGCCGGGAGCCAAAGGGTTAAAAGTTGAACGACTACTTTTCGAGGGATCTATTTTTTAGTTTTGTTCGTGTTCTATTTTACTTGGAATATAATCAAAATTGCATTGTATTAATCCAACAATAATATTCCAACGTTTTCTATCACGATCACTGAACAGAATTCGTTTTTTTCATTTCAGTTTTTTAATGTGTTTTGAAAAATATGAGATTTGCTCGTATGATGGCGAAAGTATCAATTAGTCTGCAAATAGCATTCTAAAAGAAAGCTGAAACAGTAGACGAAATAGAACATCTAAATAGGGACTTGGTAAACTGTTATTTTGTGTTCTATCTCTTATTTATTCCATTTGATACTCTGTCGAGAGTTTCAATTCTATTGTTTTTTTATGTTTTACTTATATTAACTGTAGATACTAAAAACTGAAGTTATCAGTTTTTAAAACATTCCATTATGATGCACACTTCAATTTAGAGAAAATAACATTGATCCTTTTAGGTTCTCAGTGATTTTTTCAGTATCTCTATTTTTGACATTATCAAAACTTGATGAGGCGTTTGCTTCGAGGACTTGGGACAATTATAAAGACTTCTGAGCTCGACTCATTTATATCATTGTATGAGTTGAAACCTTATATTTTAGTTGAAAAAAATTGAATTCATATTAGATTCGTGTTGTATTTGAAAATTTTCATTTTTCTTGAGGAATCCAATTTTTCAGAAAAAGCTCGAAGTCGAGTTTTTACTATAGAAAGATACAATGGAATTTTCGCTTTCAGAATATGCAAGCTTTTTGGAAAAGGACCAATGTTCAAAGCTACTGTCGACCTGCGCATCATGTCTTTTTTTTGGAACTTTTTTCTAAAAGCTGCTCAATTTAGGAAACTGCCTTGTATTTGTTTTGACATTGAATAAATCCTTATATTTACTTTAAAATGATTGATAGTGGTAAATTAAATCACTTTTTATGCTTTAAAATTTTTAGATTTGAATAAAAAAATTCTTTTCTAAATCTTCTGTAACGTTTTCTTCAAGCAAGGATCATGCAGAAAAACTGAAATAACTTTTATCTAACTCAGAATATAACTTTTTTTTTTTAAAGGTTTGAATCAGAGCTCACTTCCCATCTGATAGATATTTTATGCTTGATTTCTGTGTCGAGAAAAGTCGGATATACCGTCGTGAAATCATATTATTTTCACGCTTATTTTGCACACCATGTCCACAAAAATGCTCCTAAAAAATGAAAGCAAGTGAGCTTCAAAATTCTGTTTGATGACAAGTTATAAACAGAAGTTAGTTTCAACTCAAATCCAATGTGAGCTCTGTACCTATTATAATAATGAAGTGATGTCGATTCTCCTGGAAGCTATAAAAACAGGTTGGAAGTTCAGTCTGGTAGGAATATATCAGGCTGATGTTTTTAAATTTCAGTCCGAATGGCCGTTCTTAGTGTTAAATCAATAATGAGAGAGGAAGTCCTCTTAATTCATCTCAACGTTTTTAGGTTTTTCCATTGATTATCCTACCGTCTGATTGCTGCCACTTAGTCGTTTGTAAACAGTGACATAATACAGGAGTGATGCTGGAGAACTTAGATGTGCTTTTTCCAGAATTAGTTCATCGGCTCGATTCTTTTCACATGATAGATAACAGTTTAATGCAATAGTGTATTTTTTCTCGTTAAAATATTGATCACCTAACATTTTCCAGTCAGGATGTTTGATACCATCAAATAGTTCAAATGCAATAGAATTTGCATCTTCAATACCTTTGATAAACCACGATGTATCATCTTTATTCGAATTTGAAGATAATTGTTCAAACATTTTATGACATAGAACAACTTTATAATATTGTTTTTCATCTATATATTTTTGTTTATACAAATCCCAAGACGTGTATTGATATATATGAATAAATGCTAGTCCGATAGTGATAGTACGAATATCTTCTGATAAACAAACTTCATTTAACCAATCGTCTAGCATAATTGGTCTGGTCATTGGTATCTGTAATATTTTTGTGAAACCTCTAATATATGAATCAGTAGATGCCGATAGATGTATCTTTCGATCGTGTAAATATGATAATAGATAAGATAGTTTTTCAAATTGTTCTGTCGAACTCAACTGTTCAGCGATTTGAATCCAATTGTTGATTACCATTTTATTATACAAATAAAACGAGAACATTATAAGATCCCCATGTTCATGGGTACTTGTTCTTTTCAAAAGGAAATTTTCACCCAATGTCTTCCAATTTAGACTATTACTATCATATTTATAATTGATATATAATAAATAAAATATACAAGAATCAATATTGCTTGCATCTAACTTCACGACAATTGTAAATAATTTTTCAACAGATAAGTTTATTCTTTGATAACATAAAACGGAGAATACTAGATTATTGTTTTGACTTGCTTGATCTAGCCAGAACTGTTCGTTGTTTTGACATTGATTCATGCAAGTAAGTGCATAAGCATATTCATTTTTTGCACATAAATCAATAGAATATCGAAACCAATCATCATTATTCATTTTAGAATATATAAAACATTGAAGAGCTAAAGAATATTGTTTAAAATCAAAATATCGATCACCAACTTGTCGATAAAATGTCTCATCACCATTTGGTTCATATTTGTTAATGAGGGCTAAATAAACATTTAGGTACTGTATTCGATTTGATTCAATCAACTGCTGAACATAATTAAACAGATGTTCATAAAGTAAAGATTGTTTTATACAAGAACATTTACGACAAATTCTTACAGGTTTTGCAATGTAACCAAGATGAGGAATTCTCTTAAATGATAAACATTCTGCACAATGTTGTTCACTACACATACGACATGTATGTCGACGATGAAGAAGTGTAAACACTCTTTTACATGCGTTACACTGAGAAGCATTATCCATAAAGGGTGGTGGATTTTCAATAGGAAAACGAAATTGATCGATATCAATATATTTATTTTTAGTTGATGGATCAACAAGACAATAATTACCTCCAGTGGTTGTACGTTGATCATTAACAAGATGTAATTTTGTTAATACCCCTCCTTCTTCATCTTGATCGTATTTATCAAAAATTTGTTTTAATTCATCTACTTCGTTGCTATTCGGTAATACATTGATGGAACATATGCATGATAATAGTTCGGGTAATTTATATAATTTTTCCTTTTCACATTCATATTTGTCGATACAACGTGTCCAAAATCTTCTGTTTGATGATTGTCGAACGATCTCTATTGGTATGCTTATTTGTTCAATAATTGGTTTGATTAGATTCCACCTTTGCGAGTTATTCCACAACGATAAATATTTTGTTGTTATTACTACTGATTTCCAATTCCATATTGATTGATCGATTATTTGTTCAAGTTTTATAGATGTTGAATCATTAAAGAATTTTTCATAAGATTCTACATTTTGACCTTGATGTACATTGTTATTGAGACTACTTTGATAACAAACATTGCATTGTACATAATTATCTAGATTCGTGATCTGTTCAGTATCTTTGGTGAATCTTTCCAAAATTTCCTTGATTTTTTCTGAAAAATTATCAACAAAAGTTAAGCTCTCGTAATTAGTAATATATTCATCAATCTGGGTTCGGTAGATATCGGACATTTTGGGACCCATATGTAATGCAGCCAAATTCGATTTCTCAAAAAGAAAATCGTCGTCTTTGTCATCATCTCTACCGATATCAGTATTGGCATTGTATTCTTTTCTTCCAGTTTCATTCGATAATATTTCATATGCTCGTCTAAGTGCTTGAAACAATTGTTTTGCTTGGATAGTACTGTCAATATTCCTATCAGGATGCCATTCCAATGCACGTTTCAAATATGCATTTCGAATTTCGATTTGTGTAGCGTTCGGATGAATGTTCAGTACTTGATAAAAATCATTTTCATCAATATCCAAAATCCTATGGAAGAAAATAAGTCACTCAAAATAACAAAAAATATCTTGCTGCGCAGCACATGTATGATGACAGCAATCTGAATTAGAAGGTAGTTCGGCAATGTGAAATTATCGTTTTAAAATGTTTAACTAGAGGCTCCTGTGAAGGGTTGCATTCAAGGGAGAAAGGCGGAGCTCCTGGAGTACATACTCTCACTGGATTTCTTCTACACCCCTGTACTCTCCTGTACATTGCCTATACTCTTACTGTACTTCCCTATACATCTCCTATACTTTCACTGTAGTCTCGTATACTCTTACTGCAGTCCCCTGTGCTCTCCTGTACCTTCCCTGTATTCTTACTGTACTCTGTTGTACTTCCACTATATTTCGGGAGTACCGGAGTCTCGCCTTCTTCTCCTTGGTTGGACTGTAACATCGTAGGAAAAAAATTAATATTATGAGGAAAATTTAATATAATATAAAAAACAATTGATTTAATGTTCATAAGAAAAAGTTTCCGAATGTAAAATATAATATAGATAACTGATGTTCTCTTTCTCGTAGAGAAGAGTCTTGCAAACATAAATTGTCTGTTTGCTTGATTGCTTGATTGCTTGTATGTCCGCACTTCACCGATTGATCGAAGAATGAGGTAAGGATATAAAAGGAATTTTTTCTATAAGGATTGACCGAAGGGTAATCGGGGTCGAGGAACTCGAATCAGATGTTAGATTTTATGAATTTTTTTTCGG